TACGTTATTTATAATAAACAAATCGAAAAAAAAAGCTTGTCTACAAAATAATTACTAATTATGATAACTAATTGAAATAAAAAACTTGTTTCCCTTCATATAAAAAAAAATAAAAAAAAAAATAAAAAAAATAATTATTATTATTAAAAGAAAAAAAAAAATAAAATAAAAATAAATAAAAAATAAAATAATAATAATAATAATAATAATAATAATAATAATAATTAAAAAATTTTAAAAAATAAAATAAAATAAAATAAAATAAAAAATTTTTTTTTTTGGCTGGCGAAATTTACGCCATTAAAAGTAAAATAACCTACCAAAATAAGGATGAAAATAAATTTTTTATAAAAGGACTTTTTAGGTAAATTATTATTTTTTTTTTATTAACGTGAATGGATTATAATATAAACGCGTTTTTTTATAAATTATAATTTTATGTCTATATCAAGTACATAGGAACATCCGTATAATTTTTAAAAACTTTTTTGATAATTATTGGTTGAAACTTTAAAAAAAAAAATTTGTACAAAAAATCTAAATGTCAATTAGAAGTTAAAAAAGTATAGTCAAATAAATACCATCAAAAGATGGTTACAACATTTTAATGGTTGTACAATTTATAAATATTTTTAATGTCTTTATTGACAATTTAATATAGACAATCATTATTGAATAAAAACAACAAAAACGAATAAAATTATAGAATGTTGAAAGAAAAAAAAAGAAACAAGAACAAGGGAGAAATAGAAAAAAGGGGAAAACGTCACAATAGGCGTCAATACTCCGATCATAAATCCGGTTATTAATCTGGTTATTATGTTATTATGCTATAAATCAGGAAAGTTTTATCAAATCACATGTGATATGTGATGTTGTGGACGTTATTTGTATGTAGTTTGTGTGTGGTTGTTTGTATCGGAACGTAATACGGAACGTAATAAAAGTATTAACAAATAAGAATTTAACAACTCATTATACATGGAACATAAATTCCGATATCGGAATTGGCGGAATTAAAGTGGATTTACGATTAGCGGATTTAAATTTCCGCAAGTAATTGACCGCTAAATCGTCTAAATGCAAAGTAAATCAATTAAGTCGCTCTAAAAGCAAAGTAAAATGTCTAAATAATTAAATAGTCTAAATGCAAAGTAAACATCTATTATTTTAAATGCAAGGTAAACATCTATTATTTTAAATGCAAGGCAAACGTCTATCGTTTTAAATGCAAGGTAATCGTCTATCGTTTTAAATGCAAGGTAAAGACGTCTAAATCGATTATTAAATCGTCCAAAACAAAGTAAAATCGTTTAAATGCAAGGTAAAACGTCAAAATCGACTATTAAATCGTCTAAATGCAAATAAAATCGTTTAAATACAAGTTAAAACGATTAAATCGATTATTAAATCGTCTCAATGCAAATAAAATCGTTTAAATACAAGGTAAAACGTCTAAATCAATTATTAAATCGTTTAAATTAAATTAAATGCAATCTAAATCGATTATTAAATCGTCTAAATGCAAATAAAATCGTTTAAATACAAGGTAAAACGTCTAAATCAATTATTAAATCGTTTAAATTAAATTAAATGCAATCTAAATCGATTATTAAATCGTCTAAATGCAAATAAAATCGTTTAAATACAAGGTAAAACGTCTAAATCAATTATTAAATCGTTTAAATGCAAAGTAAAATCGTTTAAATGCAAGGTAAAACGTTTAAATCAATTATTAAATTGCCTAAATTAAATGCAATCTAAATCAATTATTAAATCGTCTCAAATGCAAAAAAATGCAAAGTAAAATCGTTTAAATGCAAGATAAATCAATTAATTCATCTAAATCGCAACTTTACACGACAAGACTAAATAAAGTAAAATAGGCAATCACCTAAATGCAAATAAATCAATTAAATCATCTACATCACAACTTTACACGACAAGACTAAATAAAGTAAAATAGGCAATCGCCTAAATGCAAATAAATCAATTAAATCATCTACATCACAACTTTACACGACAAGACTAAATAAATGCAAAGTAAAATCGTTTAAATGCAAAATAAATCAATTAAATCATCTACATCACAACTTTACACGACAAGACTAAATGCAAAGTAAAAATCGTTTAAATGCAAAATAAATCAATTAGATCATCTAAATCACAACATTAACACGACAAGATATTTTTAATACAATAAAAAAAATTCTTTTTTATTTACAAATTTTTTATTTAAAAAAAATTTTTTTTCTTCAAAAACGAGAGTAAATGCGCAAAAATTGCTAAAATTGTTAATTGCTTTAATTGCGTTAATCGCGCTAATCGCGATAACCCTAAGTTTATGTTGTAAAAAAAAAAAAAAAAAAAATTTACATTGAAAAAAAAATTTAATATATATATATATTTAATAATAATGATATTTAATAATAATAATGTATTCCGCCTCGCACATGAGAACTCTTTTTTGGTCTTCCCCTTCTCTTTTTACTTATAGCACTAGGTGCAAATGTTACTCTTGTTGGAGCTACTCTTGTAGTAGGCGATGAAATAGATTTTTCGACATTTGATAAATGTTTTAATTTAATTATAGAATCATTAATCTGTTCAAGTTTAGAAGAATAATTCACTAATTCTTTCTTAATGGATTTTGCGGTTCTAAATTCCTTAGACATTTTAAAATAATAATAAAATTCAACAACTTCTTTTGTTGATTTGTTTAAAGATTTAGCGAGTTGACCGAAATTTTTTCCTTCAGATAAATAAAATGATAAAAATTTTTTCTGATCATAATAAGTCCAATTTGATAAAATCTGTGATCTCGTCTTCGGTATAGGATAATTTGAATTTTTCTTTGATAAATTATTAATTACTTGAGAATTTTTTGAAGGAAGAGTAACTTTTCTTGAAAATGGAGGAATATCAGCAACTTTAAAAGAATATTTTTGTAAAGTTTTTTCTTCTTCTGATAAATGATGTTTTTTCTTTATCATTGAAGGAGGGTCTTGATTTGGTATCGATTTCTTACTTCTAGTACGAGTTGCGATACCATTTTTTGGTAATTTAAATTTTAAGAAAATTTCTTCTTTTGATTTTCTTTGATAACCTTTTTTTGAAGATTCTTCACAAGTGTTGATATTATTATTATTATTATCATAAAGAATTGATTGTTCTGGTTCAACTTTATCATTCACATCTGAATAATCTAAACAAGAAGATGTTGAAAGGGAAGGTGATGATTGTAAAGGTGAAATGATATCCTGTGATAAATCTTGTTGATTTTGTTTGTTTTGTTGTTGTTGTTGTTGTTGTTGTTGTTGTAAATCATTTTGATTGAAATTAAATATTGAAGGGGTATGATAAATTTTTTGTGATACAGGGGGTGGGGATAATTCATATACTGTTGATAAAGACCAAGGATAAGAAATATTTACATTATTATTAACATTGAATGGACCATTGGTAGGTGTCTTTGGTGAATCAGGTGACTGATCACTTGCGGTATCATGATCTTCTGCTCCGAGGTAATGATGGTCGGATAAAGCCAGCTCGGAAATAGAACAACATGACGAAGTACTATCGTCATTGGTGATAGAAGGAGGAGAAAAAGAATTTTGTTGTTGTAAAGATAAAGATAAAGTATTTTTTCTTGTTTCATCATCCATTCCGAGATATTGTTGGTCAGATGAAGCCAGCTCGGAATTAGGATAACGTGATGAAAAATTTGTGACAGAAGGATAATAAGTATATGGTCGTGATGTTTGAATATTTTTCTCTTGATTTGGAAAATAAAATTTTTGATCTTGAGATAAAAGAAGAGTATCTAATTTTGTTAAAGGATAAGTAAAATTGTAATCACTTTCGTTATGGTTACCACGAGACATTTTTGTTAATATTTTTTTTTTTTTGTTTTTGGGGGTTTTTTTTTATATAAAAAAAAAAGAGTTTTTAAAAACAAAAAGGGAACGAAAAAAAAAGTGTATTCTTAAAAAAAAAAAAAAAAAAAAATTTTTTT